CACTGCACATACCACCGCATACCTCACAGTAGGCCTCACTGCACACACCACCGCATACCTCACAGTAGGCCCCACTGCATGCACCACTGCATACCCCACAGTAGGCCCCACTGCCCACACCACCGCATACACCACAGTAGGCCTCACTGCATCCACCCCAGTAGGCCCCACTGCACACACCACTGCATACACCACGTGCCACCTGCACCTTCTCTGTTCCTGGTTGTCCTGGGCTGAAAGAAAACTGTTTCCCATTTCTTGGGAAACTAAGACCCACCCAAAAAGGCAGCTTATGGGCCTGACTTCAGCTGCCTCCTGGGATAGAAGGTGGGGGCTCTGCACCTCTTGTCCTGGCAGGGACACCCCAAACCGGACTCTACTCGGCACTGTTGGAGCCCAGGGAGCCCTGGGTGGAATTCTGAGCTCCTAAACTGGAGGCCAGGGGATCTGTGCTGTTTTCAGTTGTGGGCTTGCAGCATGTTACAGCAGCAAACAGCAAACTGATACTGGCCACCTAAGGGTCACAGGAGACATGGTCTGAACACTGCCACCTGCCAAAGCTGGGTCACATGGCCTCCACACCAAGACTAGGGCAGGAATGACTGATGGCACTGTGGCCTGCTGTGGACATCAGCACTAAGGGTGGGCCCTGTCCTCTGGGACCAGCGGGATTACCTGATTCTTGTTCAGACTGGGTCCTTCATCACAGAGAGGAAGCAGCAGGGGTGTGGCGAGGACACAGGGAGCTGGGTGGAAGAGTCATTGTGGAAAGGGCTAGACTGTGCAGGCCCAGCAGCAGAACAACCTCGACTCCACCTTGTGGCCCCGGGAGCCTCAGGTACTGTTACGGCTTGGGACATCTGTGACAAGACAAGGCCTGGCCCCCTCCAGGATGTCCCTGCACTGCCCATGGCCATCAGCTTCATGGGCCCATCACCAGCAAAGTTAGGCCCCTAGGAGCCCAAAGGCTCTGGGCTCCCATTTAGGGGCTGCTGATCATGAACTCCTGTGGGGTCCACCACCAGTGTCCTCTGGCTTGAGGAACGTGGCACCATGACCCACACCCTGGAGGCAGAGGTGGGGCAGCAAGAGTGTGGCTCCTACCACCCCTGCTGCTCTGGGTCCTCTGAGTTCTGCTGGAATACAATGTAAGTTATTTATTGGAAAGGTGGTTTTCTCAGCTGAGTGACCAAAACTCAGTGTAAAGTGGTTTCATATTATGGTGGAGGAGTTCGGGCATAGCTGGATCCAGGTCCTCGAATATCACAGGGAATTGCTGGGGCTCCTAGAAGCTCTGAGTCTTGCTGGGCTGCCCTCTTCCTCACCACTGGCAGGAGCCAGCTGCTACCCAGCAGGAAGTGGATATCCCTTTCCCAGCAAGGGTTCTAGGGGGGTCCTCACGAATTGGTGGAGCCTGCGTGGATGCTGACTCTTGGGGCACTTGGCTTGGACTGCGGGAGGTGATGCTCCAAAGGGAAAATGTGGTCTGGGAACAAGAGGGCTGGACATCACCGTCCAGTCTAGAGCAGGGAAGGCCTGGCCCCAGTTCAGCACACAGGTCCTAGGACCTCACTTACCTAGAACTGACCCCAGTCCCAGCTCAGTGGGGCTGGGAGACTCCAAGAAAGAGACTCCCTCCCAGTGTGGCAGTGCACAAGAGCCTGGGTCAGGCCCTGCCCCCTGGGTACCAGCCACTGCCTGCGTCTGGTCCTGGGGTCTGTGCCCACTTGGCAGATGGATCCTGCAGCCAGAGGCCCAGAGCCTCCTGCTGTCCCCCAGCAGCCACGGGTGGTACTGCTCACAGCGGCGGAGGCAGAAGTCCCACAGTGGTCAGGCTGGCTGAGAACCAGGTATTGGCAGAGCCGTGTCCCTTCAGTAGCTCCCCGGGGCTGCTCCACAGCTCTTCCAGTCTCAGAGGCCACCCACACTCTGGTCTGAGGTCCCTTCTTCCACTATCACTTCCAGCAATGGCTGCCAAGACCCTCTCTGCCCCACGGCTCTGACCACAGCAGGAAGGACGTCTACCTTGAGGACCCTCAGCGACAGGAGGCCCACCTGGGCCATCTGGGCAACCCTCTTCTCCTGAAGGTCCTGGACCCAGTTCCAGCAGAGTGCCTCATGGCCTCAGGGTCAGGGTCTGGCCTGATGTCCTGGTGCAGCTGTGCTGCCCACTGCCCTCGGGTGGCGCTTCTGAGTTGCAGCGTGCTCCTCCATCCCTTCTGTGGCCCGCCCACCAGCCGCAGCCCAACTCTCAGGTCTCAGTGTCCCTGCCCATCTCCCCCAGCATCTGCCAGGCCCTGGACTGTCCGGTTGCTGGCCAGGCCTGGGGGAGAGAAGCCTGGAAGGTGCGCAGAGGCACAGGGAGTCGTGCCTGGCGTCTGAGCCGAGGAGGGTCTACAGAGTCGGGTAGGAAGTGGGAGGCTGGGGGAGGCTGGCGAGGACGCGGAGGCTTAAAGAGAAGGGCAGAACGGGGGGGGGGAGCAAAGATGTCTGGCACGGGGGTCTCAGGAGGAGGGGTCCCTCACTTGCTCGAGGTCCCAGGACACAGGCCAGAGAGCAGGCTGGAGGGGCCCTGAACCCACGCCAACCAGACAATGACCCTTTGATTTGCCCAGCCCAGATGGCAGAGCCCTAGCAGGGTCAGGTCTCGGCCATGGTCACACTGTCCAGCCCCCTCACACCCTCAGTGAGAACACAGGGTCCCATCCCTGCCCACTCCCCAACCTCAGAGAATCTCTGGGGGACTGCCAGAGGCCAAGGCCAGGTCAGAACACGAGGGTATTTCTGCACTAGGGCAGAAACTTGGCCCTTGGCCACTGGCTAGGGGACAGCAATCAGGATGGGCAGCTAAGGCCTGCGCCAGGGTCTGGGTGTGGCTCCTGGTGGTGGTGGCAGAGCTCTTACTGCAGGACAGACTTGTCCTATGGCTCCAGGGAGCCTCGGTTTCCCCACTGGAGGAGGGGGAGAAAGCAGGAATGGAGGCCCAGGGTGGGGTGCCCAGAGACTCAGCTTGTTAACGTCCTTGAGAGCGCTCACCTCTCCCAGCCTCGGTTAGGCTACTTGTCTGCATGTCTCCCAACATGAGCTCCCAGAAGCCAGGCCTGGGTCAGCCTGGGTCACCGTGGGACTCCGGCACCCTGCAGGGTCTCTCCTGCTGCCACAAATTATCTCAGAAGCACCAGGGACTCCCCAGAACCCACACACACTTGAGGGGTGTCCTGACCATTCTGGAATGCCCCCACACTAGATGGCATCAGCTCCAAAAAGAATGGTAAGGAACACCTCTGCTCAGGCCACCTGGGAGGGCGAGAACACCCTCTAAAACCTACCAGTGTGACCGTGTGGCCTGCGCTGCTGCTGGCCCGGGGTTGGCACCAGCAGTGGACCAGAAGCTGTGGACCCTGGTGAGAAGGCCGCTGCTGTCCTCTTGTTCTGGGAGCAACTGTCTGGGGATCTCTCCTGCTGCACCCCTCCACCTGTCCTTCCCCTAATGACTTGCCGGTGTGTCTACTGGTCAGTGGCCAGGTGGTGGGTGGATTGCAGGAGTGAACAGAGCAGAAACTGTCCAAGCCACACTTAGGCTACCAAGGCACCCTCTTGCCAATCCCGAGGTGGTGTCCAGCTCCCCAGACCTGAACCTGTAGTTCAAAGCCATAGCCAGGCAACCAAAGACTCCCGCGCCTGACCTGACACCTGGAGGCTGCCACCGGTTCCCACCTCCAATTCACCTCATAGGAAATTTGTCCCCTGGCCCCCGCTACACCCCTATCTTCCCAGACCAACTCTCTGGCTCCCAGATGGGACCTGGGCCCTCCCCCAGTTGCCACCCCAGGCAGGCCCGGCCCTGCACCGCGCGGGACACGTCCGGTCCCCGCCACCCGCGCCGCGCCCCGCCCCGCCGCCGGCCCCGCCTGCGGGCCGCGGGACCTTTATAACCAGCGCCCGCCCCGCGCTGCAAGTCGGCGCCTAGCTCTCTGTTCGCCATGCGTCCCGGGGCGCAGGGGCCGCTGTGGCCACTGCCCTGGGGGGCCCTGGCCTGGGCCGTGGGCTTCGTGGGCTACGTGGGCTCGGGGGACCCCTCGCCCGGTGAGTGGGGCCGCCGGAAGGGGCGGGCGGGGCGGCCACCCACGTGGGCCTGCGGAATGCGGCTGCGATGCTGGGGCGCGGCAGCTGGGCCAGGGGTGTCCAACAGCGGGCTGGCGCCCGGTTCCCCAGGCCACAGGTCTGAAGAGGGCAATCCCAGGGCCAGCAGAACTGAGGTTGGCCAGCACACCCACTGCCATTTATTGAGCACTCAGTGTCTACCTCTGTATCCCCAGATCCTCAGAACAGCCAGTGTGTGGGTACTCTTACCACCCCCGTTTTCCAGATGGGGAAACTGAGGCTCAGGGTCACAAAGCCGTAAGTGGCCAAGCCAGGATGGGAAGTGAATCATCAGGGTGGGTCCAGATGCCACCGGACCCAGAACTCCAGCTGGGTTGCAGATCTTCCCCAGATGGGGTGGGTCTTTGGACCCTCATACCTGCAACTGGCTGGGAGGGCTGGGCCCCGACACTCTCACTCCTGGACTCCGTTTCCCCTTTTGTAAGACGGGGGTTGAGGTGCTGGGCTCCCGGAGCCGGTCCCAGAGAGGCACTCGGTGTGTCTGGAAGCCACAGACAGTTCGGGGATGGGGGCTGCAGCCTCTGGAGCCCCTGTTTCAGGGTGGGGAAGCAGTGGCCTTCTGCCTCCCACCCTGCCACCCCACCCGCAGCCTCACCCCAGCCTGGTGGAGGGGAGAGCAAGCCCCCTCCCCGAAGGCCCGGTCCCCTGGGGAGCCGGTGAGCTCATGCCGGGAGAATGTTCCTAAGTTGGAGTGAGTAAGAGGCGGGCCAGGCGAGGGGGGGCTGCCAAGCCAGGGGCTCTGTGCCCTCGGGCGCTGTCTAGACAGAGGGCAGAGGCGGGAGAAGGGCCGCAGGCCCACTCACCCTGACTTGTCCAGTGCCTGGCCTTTGACTGGTTGGGCGGGAGGCCAGTTCCCAGCCTTGGGGAGGAGAATCAGGGCTGGTGGTACAGAAGTGGGGGTGGGGCTCAGAAAGGAGGGACCCCCAAAGGGGCCTGGGTGTGCATCCAGGTGCTCTCTGCACTTGGAGCCGTGGAGCCTGGCAGTGTGTGTCCCAGTGGTGGGGCAGAGGCTGGCTGTCAGGAGTGCCTGCAGGCAGTGTCCCCTCTCCCACAGGGGGTGTCTGCTGGCTCCAGCAGGGCCAGGAGGCCACCTGCAGCCTGGTGCTGAGGACTGACGTGAGCCAGGCCGAGTGCTGCGCTTCTGGCAGCATCGACACTGCTTGGTCCAACTTCACCCACCCAGGGAACAAGATCAGCCTCCTGGGATTCCTAGGCCTCGTCCACTGTCTGCCCTGCAGAGGTGAGCCCCCAACAATGCCAGGGCCAGGGGCAGGGCACTGCAGCTCCGTCCAGAAGCAGCAAGAAGAGCCACCAGGGTTGTCAGGGGGATGTCAGGAGCAAGCTTCCTGTCACTGGAGTAGCAGGCCTGAGGGGTGGGGTGTGCCCAGGAGATTCCCAGCTTCATCCCAGGGCCTTCAGTTTGAATGGCTCTGCCACCCACCCCCCAAATGGCAGAGGCCACTTGGCTCACACCTAGCTCCCGGAAAGCAGGTTCCCAGAGCCCACACAGGGCCCTTAATGCCACCGATTATGCATGTTCAATAGGCTTGTACCTCTGGACCTTGCTCTAAGAAATCTTGCCCCCCACATCACATCATGAGCAGAATGAAAGAGTCCAGAGTCCTCTGCCTTGGAGGATGGGCTGGTTGGAGGACCTTCCTAGTCCCCAGCGGTCAGGCTGAAGTTGCAGGAGCCCAGAGAGGGTGCCAGGGCAGGATGTGAAGAAGTGTGCGTCAGAGCTGGGTTCTGCAGCCTGAGGAGGAGTCCGCCGGGCAGAGCCACGTGGGGTAGTGCAACCACAGAGCCCCTGGTCCAGAGTCAGCCAGGGAGCTGGGAGGAGGGGGGCACAGGGCTGCAGACCTGAAGGCCAAGCCGGGGAGCTCGGACTGGGGGCCTCGGAAGTGATCAGTCCCAGATCAGCCTGGCTGGGTGGTCCTGAACTCATGGCCACACGGAGCTCTCCAGACTCCCCGCCTCTGGCTTCTGGAGAACAGACTGCAGAAAGTGCCTGACCTGGGCATGAATGGCCCAGAACTCTGTCCCCACAACCTCATCTGGCCCTGGGATGGGAACCTGGCCCCTTTCCCTTTCCCTTCTGAAGCCACGGGAGTGGTTCCAGATGTGCATGTGGGCGGGGTGGGAGGTGCCCGGGTGCAGCCGACATGATGATGCCCAGAGGGGACTCTGACCATTGTCCTGGGCAAGATGGCTCACCCTGTAAGGTGGGATCCCCATCCCCTTTATGCATGGGAAACTGAGGCCGAAATCTTCAGAGTTCAGGATCCAGACACCCAAGCAACAGAAAGGGGCAGGCAGGTGTGCATTACAGGTCTGGGCTCCTGTCCGCCCGCCCCCC